CCCCAAAACCCCAAAACCCCAAAACCCCAAAACCCCGTATATTTTGAAGACCATGGAACTTAATATTAATTTATCATTGAGTCCAATGCACTTGCAAGTTGAGAATACTGTACAACTGCATATAACTTATTATTGGACCTCTAGTTAATTTTATCCATCCATAACTATTCAAAATATCTTAAGAACTTTCTGAGATTGAACTAAACTAAAGTCCTAAGCATCTTGAGACTTTACTTTTGACATTTGGTGCCTCTTTGAACTTGACTTTGTCAGGTCAAGCTAAATTTTTAAACACTTTGGTTCTCTAGCATATGCATTATTAATTTTAGTGCAGATAGTCATCCGGATCGTTTGTCAGCCAAAACACATGCTAAGCGAAGACTACCATTAGACTCTATGTTTGTTAGCAAAAGCTAAGTAATGGGGTTCAGAAAGCTGCAAATCATCCAATTTAGTCTGTTTCGTTATCGTTTCAGTTATCTCTTTGGATCTATCAAGGTGAATCAGATATCCAGACCAGTACTCTTTCAAGGGTTTATCCCTTTTGCTCTCCACCCAGCCCCTCAATAGGACTTAACACTGGTATTTGACACCAGCTACCCGACTGAGGGAGATAAACTAAATTGGGATCTCAAACTATTTTGTATCCCGAAAGGTCCTGGACCCTCCCCGTCTGTTATTGTCTACTAGTCTCTTTAACCTGAGCATCGACAAAACCCATATCTAGGTCCTTGACCACAATAGTCTGAACAGCCACAGCTTCCCTTATAGTACACTGTGGTTCATGAGCCTCTCCTATACCGTAGAGGATCCTCCTTTTTGATAGCCCCTAACACCCTGCAGCCTGTAAATGTGAAACAATCTGCTAGTTTAACTGTAACCTAAACCACATAAAAAGAATAGCAAATAAGTTAAATCAGAGCTTAAATTTGGTGAATCTGCCTATATTAAGTTTGGAAAATTGCCTAGAAAATTCTATAAATCCTAAAAACACTACATAGTTAGCTTATAGCTGCTTTTGATAACATTTAAAGCACTTCCAGAGATAGCTTAAGGCACAAAAGTAGAATTTCTTTAACCTATACCATCCTACTGTAGAAATCTGGGTGATTTCAGTTTCTATCAATGCTGCTAATGAACCAGTGATAATTTAGAGACTAAACAGTAAAATGTATTGAGCTTCCCACTAAATTAGATATATCCCAAAGCGATAACTGAGGGATAATAGTACTCTGTTGATAGATAGCATATGTTTGACAGTTTGGCATTTTTAAATATCATTTAAGATTTTAATAAGGGGTTTTGGGGTTTTGGGGTTTTGGGGTTTTGGGG